TCAAAAGCAAATTCTACAGGCACGTTAATTTGTATATATTCCAACTCTTTTATATTTCGCGATATTACTCTATTATCATAAATATCATGGAAGGATGCATTTTACGTAATTTATTAGGCAAGTTTGTTTGCTCTTACTTTCCTTGTTCTTACGATTCAAACTTGGAATAGTGATATAAATTTTATTTTTAAACTTAAAATATTTACTTCGTCAAGTTTTCAAATAATTCGAATCGAAAATTAATTCAACATCACATTACGCATTCATCTTTTTCTTACTTTGCTTAATATTCAAAATTGAAGTGTTATAAATTTTACTTTTAAATTACAAATTCTCAACTATGAATTTTAAAATAATGCCTTTACTTTTCATCTTTCTTTGTTTTTTGTATTTGCCTTTTTTATTCGACTATTACTCGAATTTGAAATAACGATGGATATACATTCTATTTTTTTATTTGTTTGTTTACTTATTTTTATCTCCTCTTTCATATTTAAAATCTGTGTAAAAAAAAATACGAGACAACAAAGCAAATATACGCGATTAATTTTGTCACGTAACTTTTTCCACCATTGCGGAATTAGCAAATTTTATTTTTGAATACTAAATCTTTCTCGTCAAATTTCCAAACTAGCTTGAATCGAGTAACACGTACACATTACATCGTCAAATTATCGACTACTTTCACGTAACATTTAAGCATATCGCTTTTCCTTTGAATGGCTTCGACGACAGAAATAGCTGGGATAGCTCTTTGGGATCCGGTTTTGCGACTTTTTTATCATCTGGTTCCGCGGCCGAAGCGCAAGGTCCTAGGAATAATTTACGGTAAATTCACAAATCCGGAACCATGTAATTGAATGGTTCGATCTGCATCTTGTCATGCTCCGATTATCGCCCATTGTGCCTCGATTGATTCTCGGATATCGAGTTTCGCTATACGTCCACGCTTTTTTAACTCCTTCGCACGATCCCATTATGTATTGCGCGATAAATGACAGAGGTCATTTAACGATCAGATTACTAACTCGTGACGTGACTGCGTCGATCGGTTATCACTTTGAAACGCAAAAAAGTTATGTAAAGAGAGAGAAAAAAAAAAAGAAGGAAAATCGAGTTGATAATGTCGTTTGTTTTATTGAAGAAAAATTCTTTAACATCTGACTGAAAGTGTAGAAAACTGTTGAATTATTGTTAGATCGAGGCATTGATATGGTATATTTTAAGAAAAAATAATTGACGCGATTAAATGGATAACAGACGAGACAGATATGTTTCCAATACAATTGAAAAATATTAAAAAAATATTCATCTGAGTATTTTTATTTTTTTAACAAAAATATTTCGGTACATTTTATTTTATTTTCAAACAATTGTATAATTGTAGAATGAAATAATAGATAAATATTTATCAAAAGTAGGTCTTGTATTTTCTTTTATCGATATGGCAGAGATATTTTCATATATTCAACAAAAATCAATCAATGTATATAATTATGTATATGTTTATTATAATCTTTTTATGAATTTGCTTTAAATGAAAAATTAAATAAAAGGAATAATTATTTAAAACTAAGTATTTATTTAATTCATTATTTAATTTTTTTGTGCAAGTGAAAAAAAAATTGAAAATTAATATTTTGTATCTTACATCTTTTAAAATCTAAATAAAAAGTAAATTAAAATTAATAAAATTAATAATAGTTTTGACTTTAAGTAAATGCTGTATCAAGGAATTTTTATAATTTTATTAAATAATTATAGAATAAAAAAAAGTTTTATAATCTTTTATTTTATAAAGGGGAATTAAAATTTTTTAATCGTTATAAGAAATTTCTGCTGTTTGAAATCAATTTGGAACTAATTAATCGGCAGACATTTTACATTCAAATGTAATCTTTAAATAATTAAATAATGAAATGAGTATCTATATATATTATCAACCCAAAGAATATCTAAAATTATCCTCTAAACATTTTATTCAAATATAAATTTTTGAAATAAATTTGTTATTTTTAATTATATAATGTTTATTTTTTCCATAAAATTAATTTCTATAATATTAATTACATAACATTTATATCACATATTCTAAATATTTAGAAAGAAAGAGGAAAAAAGAACATTGAGATGAAATACTCAACATTTTTCACGAAGTCTTTCAATTTTGCTGATTAAATTTTTCGAAGAATCGAAGATAATTATCCCATAGAATTTCATTTCTGCAATTTGGCTAAATATACTTGGTCTGTATTAATTACAGTATTTCCATTGCTTTGAGTATATTACAGACTATTGCGACTGCAATGTCGCCTTTTGTTCGATTCATAAAGAGAACGATACTGAATACACTCTTTGCCAGGCTCCATTGTAAGACTTTCTGGAAACCTTAATACAGAATGTGGTACGTCGAACTTCTGAAATGGAACAGAAAGGAGATTTCCAAGTTTACCTAAGCAAATGTTCAACTAATTGACCCGTTTACCATTATTTCTACATTCTATTTTTCCTTTGTTATCTCATGGGATGATCTAATGTTCCGTTCTTCTTTTTTTTTCCTTTTATAAGTATTTTCATGTATTTCGAAATAAAAAATTTTGAAGTTTAAATAAATGGTAATAAAATTTTTATCGTATTATAAAACTTTAAATTTTCTTCGTAAAACTTGGTATTAAATTATTCAAGAAGTTTAAACTTAAGATTTATTTCATTTTCGCATCTGAAAATTCTTGTTTTTTATGTAAAATACTAATGACGATTACGTAATCAATGCTGATTTTTCGATCAATTATACGATATAGAATAAAATTCAAAAAATATTTTACATATTCAATATATAGATATTTAGAAGAAATATTTATTTCTATTTTCCCATATATTTTTAATATCAAAATAATTTTTGAGATTTATTTTTGAATTATAATATTTTGAAAAAATATTTAGAATATCTAATATCGTTTTTAATTTTAAAAAATTACTTATTTCATATATTTTGTTTCACTTCAATTGATCATTTATACATTATAATTATACATACATTATAATTAATCAAAGATTAATTATTTGTGTGTATATACATGTAAGATAATAAATTTTAAATTAAAAATATTTAACTCATAATAAAAGAATCAATCTAAAAGTTATGACAACAAATTCAAACGTGAAATTTGAACGAACTTTATTCGAAAATAATTTTAGAAGAAAATTTATAAAAATCTATGAAAAAATGTATTTCAAATGCAAACTCAATTTAAACAAATAAGATTTATGAAAATATTTATTGAAAATATATATTCGAATTGCACGAATTCGCAGTTTATTCGGAGTAGATATAAATTTGTTTAGTTTATTTAACATTTATACAAAAATGATTAAAATTTCGATTTTAATATTTCAGATGAATGCTATAGAAATTCTACAAAGTTCTACGATGTAGAAAAAAGTTTCGCTTCTCCGAAAATCAATCGGAATTGACACGTTTTCAGCGAAACAAACTTTTATTCCATTAAAATTTATTCATAAAATTCAAACGTGTTCTAAAATTGCAAATAGATGCAATAGATAATAATCAAATAATATTGAAAATCAATAATAATCAAATAATATTGATATTAGATTAAATTTGAATTAAAGAATTTATTCCAAAATTAAATGAAATTATTCGAAATTTCAATTTCAAAACCACCCGTATGAATGATTTTTATTATTGCATCTTATTCATGATTTCAAATTTCATGATCAAATTTAACACAACTTTATCATATATTTTCAATATAACTTAATAATGTAAGAAATTCTAATTTAAAATTTTAATTAGTAAATATCGAAAGTCGCGACCTTTCGTTTGAATACAATGAAATTTATTTTTAAATTACGTTTAAAGCTATTTGAAATTTCAATCTTTGAACTATCCATTTAAACCATATTTATCATATTTGCACTTTCAGTAGACTTAACTTAATAATAATTCTATATATTACGTAATAAATGCACACACATAACTTGTAACTAACTCCCACTCGTATCAAAATCGAAAAATTATTCTACGATACCTCCGAAATCGATATTTTCGAAATTTCATTATTCCATCCTAATTCCTATTTCTTCGAATTTGTTGCTGCCTAATAGTAAAATTTTTCCACGTTTGACAGTTGATAGGCAATAAACACGTTTATACTCAAGGATCGGGAAGGAACACGTTGTAAACAGGTATCGATGCACAGCTGAGAGGGGAACGAGTGGATTGGCGCGAAGACAGCGAATACGAGACAGAGAATGCACGACAGGAATTATCGACGCGCGCGGCTCGAGTATACCGCTATACCAACTGTACGATCAAGGTCGCGAGAGAAGTTCTTCCGCTATATACGTTTAGGAAATCTAAGAGAATGCTTAAAGACCGTTATTTTGATCCTTTCAAATCGTTAATTTCAATCATCAATTTGTCTCGATTAAATCTCGATTAATCCATTGATAGAAAAGAGACAAGCAAATCCATTGAATACTTTGAAACAGGTTAAAAAGATTGCTCTCTTCTTTATATTCGATCACCATTTATGCAATCATTTTTTGGGAATCGAAACAAGAGGGATATGTGTATTTGAAAGATCTGTCAGGAAAGGACAGCATCGATAACGATCCGTGTCTCGAGCAGAGCGCCTCTATTAATCGAATTTCTGTCAGTCTCCTGTCAAATATTCATCGGTCACTTGGAGCCGTCACACAATCTCGGAATCATTCGATTTCGTGAATTTTCGAACGATATAATAGAATAAAAAAAAAATAGGCGAAATTTTGAAACGAAAAAGATTGAGTATTGTTTGAAGGAGATACGAATATACGTATTCATTGAGATACATAGAACTAAATATCTGAATATACAACGGATAGGCACGGAAATTTTTCATTGAAATCCGTGAACGTGACAAGGATACGAGAGAAAGCGAGATGGAGAAACCGCGTGCTTAGTCGCGCCGACGCATCGTTTACAGCTCACTCACCTGCGAATCGTCCGCCTATCAGCGCGGCCAAAGTTGGACTAAAATGCAACTTCAGGTGCTCGACAGGTTCTCCGTGCGTTGGTGTCTCCTATGTGCAAGTACCACCTCGATGCTGGTCCTTATTCTTCTCGTTTACAGTTAAACGTTCACTGTTTCCTTCTCGTAGAAACGTCACCTTCGTTTCCTCGTTGCTGAGCTGGTCTCGTGAACACAGCTCCGAGCGAAAACCCGCCAAGACGTTCGGGTATTTCGTCGCATTCGTGCACGAACAGTAACTGGCGGCCTTGTCATCGAAGCGATCAGTACGGCACCTGAGCGCGCGTGCACTCCAGAGAGCCGACTCCGGAATTGACCAATAGGAATACGTTGCGGTAGACGAAACGCATGCGCGTGTCATCTACAATATGGCGGCATTTTTCGAAAATTTCTTTTGTTGAACATACATGTGTAATGCGCGTTACAATAATTTTTCATTGTTACTTTATCGGTAAATTTAACTTTTGTTAATTTAGTTTAATTATAACACATATATATTTCTCTACAAATGGTGAATTTATATTAATTATTATTAATTTGTTCAAATTTTTCTTTTTCTTTTAATAATTCGTTATATATTAGGAATATAATAATTTTAAAGAATATATTTAATATGTATGATATAATTTACAGCAATATGTGAATTAATTGAATAAAAAAATAAATTTTATTAATCAGCATATTTACAATCAATAATAGTGATTTGCGTTTATAAAATAATTTACATTTGAGTTTATGAATTTAGATTTATAATTATTATATATATATATATGCGCATAAAAAAAATTATAACTCTAATATGATGATAATAAATGATAATAATGTAATATATTTTTCTTATATAATTACGATATTTACACTTTTTAACTTTATTACCATTTTTTTGTCATTTTCATCCTTATCAATTCAGCATAGAAGAGATTACAACGCTACCAATGGTTAGAATTGAAACTAAAAATGAAATGGCATCTTATGGTACTTCGTGTTCTGAAATACCAACCTTAAAGAAAAGAATCAAAGTGTTTCTTACGCCCTCTATGATTAATTACGATTAACATAGGAATTAAATTTTATTATTTTCCATTTATTATTTTAATTATTATTATTTTAAAGGTAAATAAATTATCTGTTTAATTATTAATCGAATAAATATAAATAAATATAAAATGAATATAATTTTTTATTTTAATTATAAAAATTCAAAATTTAATTTCAAATTTAACTTCAAATTAAATTTCAAAATTCAAATTAAAATTCAAAATAAAATAAATTATTCAAAAATTATAAACCAAAACTTATGCTGATTACTATAACTTTAGAATAAAATAAAAAAGAAAAGAGAAAAAATTATATATCTTTAAACTTTCAAAATATCATAATGTATCTTAATGTTTCCGTTATATATGTATGCATTATACATGTGATGAACTAATTGCTTTTTACTTTTACTTTTAATCTAGCATTACATTACAGACAATGATTTATCTGATATTACGATACACTTTGATTATTGATTATTTTGAAACTTTCTTTTTGATTGAAAAAAAATTGTACTATATTTTATCTATTATTAAATGAACATTTTATTTTCTTGAAACACTGATTTGAATATATATCAAAAATGAATATTTTTATATTTTTCTATGCGCATATATATATAAAGAAAAATATTGTTTATATATTTTTTTGTTTATATTTTTTTTCTTTCTATCGAATATAATAAATAATATATATATTTTATTATTTTAATGTATATATTTCTTTAAAGTAAAATTTTAAAAGTAATATAATATTATAAGAGAAATAAAAATATAATTTTTCTACTTTTACTTTAATATTTGATAATTTAAATCTGTAACTTTAAAAAATAAGTAGATAAAGAAAAAAGAATAATTTAACCGTTAAAAGAGTTTTCATTTAGAATAAAAAATTAATTACACTAATTGATTATTTATATACGAATGATAAATAAGCAGATAAATAATATATTTTAAGATAAGTAAGATAAGTAATATATTTCAAAATAAAATCATTTAAAAATAATTTTATTTAAAAATAAAATCAAATTAATATATAATTAATTGTTCTATATTTATTTCAGTATTAATGAAAAAGCAATAAAAATTTTTCTAGATACATTTATCTTTGAAAAGAAATAAAATGTTATGTGATATGTATGAAAATTATTAATTGTAAATTATCATAGTATTCCATCCCAAGCAAATGATAATCTGCAAATAAAAATCACAATTACAAAACATATATATAAAATTACAATTATATTAGAATAAAATTATATTAAAATAAAACAACTAAATTAAAATAGATTTACACTGTAATGCAAGTTGTTAACTTCAACAATCAATGAACAAAGACAAAAACATAAAAAAATTTAAAGAATTAATTTTATTATCACAATTTTGGATTAATGGATAAATAAATAAACAATTAATAATTTATAAATTCATTAATAAAATACGAATAAAACTATTTGAAGCATAATCACGTAACTTAAATCGATAACACAATTTTTTCACAATGATTTTCGATAAATGAATGATGCCTCACGCTAAAATTCACTTTAATCGTTTCTAATTGACTGGTGGGGCATTTCTTATTTATTTAAGCCGTACGAAAATTAAATTATTATACAATGCCTATTAATTATGGATTTTTATTATATTAAAATTAATTTGAAATAAAAATTAATCAGATTATAAAAAAATTGAATCACAATTAAAAATTAATTAAATCTGAGATTAATTATAACTTAGAAAATAAAAATAAATTAAAGAAAATTAAAGTATAAAAAATAAATTAAAATATAGTTTTCTTGATATTGCTTTTCAAAGAATAAGTTGTCGAATATTATAATTTTTTTTATTTCTATAATATTTCTAATATAGTATTTTTAATCAAATACGATTTGAAAACTTTAATTTGATATAATTTTTTCAAATCATTTATCACGAGGAGTTGATCTTCTAAGAATATCTTCAAATAATATAAAAATAAATTATTAAAATTAATGTAAAATACATAAATAAAATAATAATAATGATATAAATGATATAATAAATTAAAAAACCAAAATTAAAGATATTAAAAACAAATATTGATTAAATTAGAAAAATCTAAAATATAAAAAAGATATTTTTTTATAAATCTAAAAAATCTAAATATAAATATTATAAAAATTGAAAAAACACAATATGATCAATAATATTTTAATGTTTAAATTTTTATTATTAATTTATAGATCTAACAATTTAATACAGTAATAAATATAATACTATATATTTTTAATTATTTTTATAAATTAAAAATAAATTTATACTTTTTGATTATTACAAATTTTATTGCGTTAAAATATTCTAAATTATGCTATGAGAAGAAGTTAGAATAATTATATTAAAATAACCACATTTTAAATCGACTACTAGTCGGTCAATATTATACTATTAATTATTTTAATTCGTGTAAAATTAAAAATACTGAAGTATGCAAGATTTGTAAGTCTTCTGTTTATTAAATTCTCTATATCAACGATGGTTTGATCATCTCTTCTCAAATAATAAATGCACTTTGAATTCGACTGTTTTCAAAGCGATCTCTTGATCTCCTCTTTGGACTTTGTTCCTCTGTCATAAAATATTCATGAAAATGTATTGCTGTGCACGTGGCACGTTTCACTGTCAGTATACCAATGGAGTTCATTTTGAGAAATTAAGAACGAAATACAGTATCGACGAGAACATACTTGTACATTATACAATACAAGAGAGAGTGAGTGAAATCTTATCGATTTTACACGGTAACTAATTACATCGTACGAATATATACGATAATCGAATTTTTGAGGTTCATACATCAACGCGTGATTGGATCGGAATTTTTCCAAGAGGATGGACCAATTTACAGCAATATCTTACGTTTGAATACGTCACTGTATCACCTAAGAATCTATCGAATTTATCCAATCGAAATATTACGTTTTTACATACTTTCCATCGAGAGGTTATTAAATATTATTATAATAATGCTATAAGGTAGACGATTCTTAAATTTAATGAATTCGAGGATTTTCTTTCATTTTAATTCCCTAAATCTTTTTCAAAATTTATTATTTCAATCTTTGATTTTTTTCAATCTTTTTAAAAATTTATTACACTTTCATGTACGAGAAATGCTAAGAATTTATTGAATAAAAGAATGCTAAAAAATAATTTGAATGAAATTGGAATTACATGATATTTTTATTATATTTTTCATAATTGAATAAAATGTCAAATTTTAATTTGAAAATTCCTTTGATCTTAAGAGGTTCACGAATCATAATTTAAAATCATAATTTAAAAAATTTGATCTAAGAAATCTCAATAGATCTTTTTAATTTTATAGAACAAATTACAATTCATTCAAAATATTTAAGAATCTAAATAATTTATAAATCATAATAATTAAAACAATTTTCGATTTCCATCATTATTTATTAAAAACTTCATATACAGGCACTGCCAAACGTCGATTATCAATTCGTTTACGTGAGCAAAGAAATAGAAATCTTAGGAACTAGCTCTTATTTCCGCTTCATTGTGACCCCAAATGTTCGTCCCCTCGATCTAAGCTCGAATACGCCGAACGTAAGTGGAAGCTTGTAACGGGACGATTTCTTAATTTCCGGTTGGTCGGTGCAAACGTCAACCCATCATTAAGAATCGAACGAAATTTTGCAGTATGACATTGTCAACGATAATCATATACCCACGATTCTGTCACCGACAATCGGGAACACGGGAAAGATAATCGGATGTAGCCGATCGACCGACAATATCGTTCAATCGTATCGTACGAGGCGATCGTTTGGAGATCAAAGACAGAAAATGGAGAGAACGTGCCGATTTTGCTCGAAATCGGCATCGTTCACCACGAACAGGGTGAGATAAATATAGTTTTATTTTAAACCTTTGTATTCTTTTATCGATTGTTTTCGTTTTAATATTAGAATATTTCGTTTAATTTTTAATAAAAAAAATTATAAAGCTTATATATATTACAAAATTGAAAGAAACTATGATTTCTTTTTCTCGATTTGATAAATAATAAAGTTGATAAATAATTTGATAAATAATAAAGTTTAGTTAATAAAGTTACATTTTACTTGACACAACAATCGTTTTTTAGAAAGTAATATTATTTTTGGTAGGATCAATTCTAGAGGCCAAAACAAACAAAAGTTGGTATATAAAAATATTCGGTTGAGACTTATTTATTAAGTTATAAACAGTTTAAATTTACTTCGGATGAAACGAGACAAAAGAAATGAGATACAATTTCTTTTCATTTTATCTACGTTTCATATAATAAGTCTCAATCTATATTTTATTTTATCTTGGAGAATTGGTTCTCTGAGAATGTTCCATGAATACATTAATAATCTGTATAATTTAAATGATTTTTATAACATTTTCAATTTTCGAACTTTAATTGATCGATTAATCATTTTCAATTGATTATCTTTTTATCATCACTCTTTTTCCAAAAAGTTCCCCAATAATATATCATCATGAAAAAATTTTATCTTAGGTTCAATTCCTAGTATTGCATAATGAACAACTCGTATCGAGAGTGAACCGTCTCACTCGCGACTTAGAATTAACAGAAGCAACTGTGAAAAGCGAAAGAATGGCGCAAACAGTTTTGACAAAGAAATTGCAAGCTTACGAGACGTTCATCGCGGATATGTTCAAATGTCTGAATATCATGGGAACTGTAAAGATTATGGATAAATCAGGAAAAGAGGTATTAATTTTATCTTTTATATTTTTTTTATTTTATTAAAACATTCACTATCTAAAATAATCATGTCATGTGAATAAGTTAAAAAGTTTTAATCAGATCAATTTTCTAAGGAAAATTTTAAATTTTATTGATGCAATTATTAAAATAAAAAGATCACGTGAAACGATTTTTCATTATTTCTATTAATAGAAATAAAATAATTTAAATAATAGAAATAAAATAATATTAATGGAAATAAAATTTTTTATTGTTTCAGATGATTGTACAAAAAATAAAACCAAAGGATCTACCTCTGATGCGCGATGAGGCAGGTGATAAACCTCTTCCTATTCTTGAAGTTTCAATGTTGAATCAATCCTCTGAAATGAAAGAATATAATAATGAAGCAACAATAAAAGTAGAACGAGTAGAGAATATTCCTCAATTACCGGTAAAAGTTTATCTGATAGTAAAAAGATAATTTTTGATTTTTCTCAATTTTAGTCATTTAGTTATTACAATGTTTCTTTAAATAGTTTCATTTTATTGCTAAAATGAAAAGTTAAGTGAAGGAGATTGAAAATAATATATTTTTTAAAAAAATATTTCTAATGTTACATAAAATTTTATCTATATATATATTTGTTTATATTAAATGTAAGAGCAGTAAAACTTTTATTTTTTATTTAAAGTATATAAGTATATATAAAATGTGATTCCGATGGTAATACGTATAACGAGTGAATTGGTAAAAAATTATTTAATGAATTGTTTTGAAATTAAAAAATTAAATTTGAAATATTTCAATCCAATTGAGTTTGGATATTTCATAGAAATCATTAGTATTTATCCATAAAAAGCTTGTAGAATGTGGAAATAAATATAAAATAATTATTAAACCACTGAAATCATAATAATAATGACATCAATTTCATTTCTATTGATATTTATTGATAAATCTATTCATAGCATTTCTGAAATGTTTAAAATTCAGTTAAAATTGAAATATTTTAAATCTATTAGAATTTAGGAAAAAAATAACTTTCATTTCATTCAAAATTTTTTTATATTATCCAAAATGTATTTATATTAAGATAAACATATATAAAAAATAAGTGAAGATCATATATATGCACAGATTCTATTTAAAAAATACGAAGTTATTTAAAGAAAAAAAAAAACTGTAGTGAAAATTGAGAAAATCAAATTGCATAGTTATCGATAAAAATCAACATTTTACAACGATCATGTATAAAGAAATAATTTTCGTAGCACATATTCAAAATAGAGGATAACAAAGAAGCTATGATTAAGAATTGGAAAAAAGATATAGAGTTCTCCGTGAAAAAAGAATTCACGGCTGTCAAAGAAGAGAAAAAGTTTGACATTAGCTTGTCCGTAGAAGAGCAGCAGCCTCAGTTCGATACGAATATTTCGATAGAGGCGACAGGGATTAAAGAAGAGGATCATGAGAATCGGCGGTAAGAAACGGGTTGAACTGCAGATTGCAAATCTAGCAGCGCGTTGTTTAATAATTCCAGCGGTTCTTATATAACGAAAGAGGCCACGGGCGCAACGAACGAACCGGAAGATAATACATGCAAAGCCACTTGTAAAATCGAACAGTTTAACTGTGCCGAGGACAAATTAGATGATACGAAAAATACAATCTATGACGAGAAAAATATCGGGCAAAATATGGATTCGTTGATAAGCGTGGACTCGTTAAAATGTTGTTGCGATTGTCATTTGAATACGTCAAAGACGCTTAGTATTAACAAAAAGATTGATAGCGATAATGTGAAAGGTAGATAGTAAGATTAAGTAAATATTCATATACGAGAATAAAACTGCATGCGTATTTTCATTTTGTTTATTTCCTTTCGAAGAATGGGCGCTTCAATGCGAATGTGACTTGGAGATATCCGATGAAATGTATCAGATGATCGATAACTATGCGGAACGGCGTCATAGTAGTAGCATTGACGTGACGAAAAATGGCTTATCCGCGATTCTGATAAAGGGTAGAAATGCCAAATTTGGTGTTATCAAGTAATGAATGTTTTTCAAATTTTTTAATTTTTTTTATTTCAATTTTTTTGAAGCTCCAAATTTTAATCATTAATATGCATAATCTTAATGCACATGTGTATATATATGTATATCTTGAAATTTGAGATGTCATTTAAAATTCAAATATCTAATTTCAAAATTCCAAATTTTCAGCTTTTCAAATTTTAAAATTTTTTAATTTTAAAAGATTTTAAAATATTATATCAACATATAATATAAATATCTTAAAGTTTAAATATATCATAAATTTCACGTTTCTAAGATTTTAAATTTTTAAATTCTCAAATTTTGAAATTTTACATTTTCTCTTTAAAATTAAAATCTGATTGTAAATTATATATTATATTATAATGTGCACAATCGAATTCCTAAGAAAAAGCTTTCATTATTTTTATATTGTAAACACAGCAAAGCAAGTGCATTATGGCATGAGTCATCTTTGCAAATATATTTTACAGGTATTAATCCACGAAATTAAGCGGATTCTCAACAACAAGTTCCATCTTGCGAAATTTGTTATTGTTGTCATTTTAATTCGCCTAGCAACAATAGAGAATTTAGCTAGTGCAATTTTGTAAATAATAAAATACTTGATCTTTAAGATAATCTTCGAATTCATTCTCTTTTATGTTAAGCTTGTCACATTCAGTGTAATATTATATCGAATAATATTATACCCTTCGTATATTATATTCAATAAATCCATTCTTGCAAAAATCTAAATTTTCATGATTCATGATCATTTGGCCATGAAAATAAATTTCGTATGATAATAAATCCCTATACATCGTCTACTAAATTATTTTTAGATAAAAATTCTTATTATATTGCAGAAAAGCAGATAAGCTTAATTTGAACAAAATAACAAATGAAAGTTAGTCCTTCATTTTATAATTTTAAAACTTTTTATAATCTTATTATCGATATAACTCGTTTAATGAATTTTAAAATTGCTTTTAACTATGTATTTAAATCGTCTTAAAATGAACAAAATAACCAGTTGAAGATGATTCTCCATAAATTTTAATTTTAAAATCGAATTACCGATAAAATTTGTTCAATAAATTTTATAATTAAGTTATATAATTAAGCTTATTAACTCCTTCTTTTATTCCAATGCCATGTTGACAGGAAGATGTCGTCGTACAGGAAGTTGAGATGTTTCTGTTCACAAACACGTGTACTGCTGCGTCGAATCATTCGAAAAATTGACTAAATATAGATTAAGAGCGGCGCTATTGTTAGATTCAAGTAGTGTTTTCGTTGCGTTTCTTCTTCGATTTCGTTTTCGTATATACTCGTCATGGGGCTAGTTGTAAATTTACGATACCAGAAAATTTGCCAAACAAACAATCGCAATTAGTTTATGATTTAATATTTCCATATTTTATTTTATAAATTGTACGCAGTTTATTTGGCATAAGTTTCTTTCTTTTTCTGGAAATCGTTTTTGTAAACAGTGATTGACGGTGTCTTTTTATTTGCCAAAACGATGCGCATTAGATAAACTAGTTGATAGTTTCTTCACAATTTGTAAGTTCAAATACTATTCAAGATCTACGGAATGATATTTCTCACTTTTAATTTGTGAAAATTAATTTTAATATTAATATTAAGAATTAATATACGAATTAATGTTAACGATATATGAACAAATAACTATAATCAATTTTAACAACGAACATGTGCCAACAACAGTTGAGAGCAATAATTGCTACTTACGAAATCTTAGTAAGAATGTTGGATCACAGACAGACTAACAAAATGTAAAATAAAGTAATGATAAGTGTTGCGTTTATAAAATTAATAATAATTTTGACGATATAATGACTCTTTTTGTACACATTATAATAAAAAATAGATTAATAAAATAATTTTTGCGTATTATATTTACATATGATAATTTAATCATTATTTCATGAATTTTTCATTATGATGAGAAAATAATGTTAGATTTCTAAATACAAATGTAAGTTAATTTATGTATACGATTGTATGTATATATATAATAAATTAATGTATTTATATTGTAAAATTTGTATATAATTTATTACAAAATTTTTTCTAATTTTATACGAATTAATAATTTTACTCTTTAATATAATTTTACTCAAATCAAGTTTTATCTTATACAATTCGAAATTCAATTACAAAGTTAAATATTTATTGACACGCATTTATTTCACAACATTTATTTCGATATAAATATAGAAAATATTCTAGATAATTGAATTTATATTTTCTTTCATTATTCAGGACTGAAAATATCTTTTATATCCAATTACAATAACTAATTCACATAAATTATTTTCAAAATTCAAATAAGAATATTGTTTACGATAAAATGAATTTATCATTAAACAAATATGCATAAGTCATATAGTATATGTAGTATAAATCATATAACTCTTTATATACAACGCAACAAACGTCTCAAATCTCCCCTTCTTCAAATCACAACAACATCAAACAACGAATTCGATTTCTCGCCAAAAAACCGATCACCTCAACGATCCAGGAAGTTTACTGAAGCTAAAGTACCGACTCTCTAGATTACTCTACTCTGGCGTTATACGGAAATGGCGAGCGCGCATGCGCGCCTACCGAAACAAACGCTTCGTCGTCCACGCGCACGCGGTCTTTCGAAACGATATTTTTAGAGAAGTGAGTCGCTGGCCGCAAGCAGCGACGGTAGTCAAGTGTCGTCGTTGACCCTAAGGAAATCGAACCCTATGAACCACGATTCCACGGATGACCACCGGGTGAGTTAATCAACGATCAATCCTGAAAGATTCGATCATCGAAAATCATCTTCATTTGATCCAATCAAATCCACGTTCCAAGTTTTCGCTCGATTCCAGAACCACTATTTCGCAATTTCCTCTTGCTTCTGCGCAATCTCCACTCGTGGCGTAGCGATTATATCTACCAAAACTTGTGCGAACGTTTTTAAATTATATACTCGATAGAATTCGAAGCCGTCACGACGGACCGTTCTTATGGATCTAAATTTGGATCGCGTGTTGAACTGCTCGGTACATCTATTTATGATGTATTTACGGCATCCGACTTGCGACTCGTGTTCTCGTTTGTCTCGATGTCCCGTTGAACGTTTGTGTTGCAATCGTAATTGATTATTTGTGATCTTATTTCTCGCAAATCTGTTCGATCAATCGAATTTATTGTTCGTTCTTTTAACACAACTATAAATATAAATTTATAAATGTATGAAATCGAAAATCCGAGACATCGAAGAATCGTGCATTCATTCTTCTGTTTATCATTTTAAGAAAATTATTTAGCGAATCTTAGCGAATCGTTATTTAAAAGTCTAATTGATCTATATATAAATAATTCCACTTTTTAAAAGTTGTTAAATTTTAATATAAGCTTTAAAAGTTTAAGCTTTTAAAAGCTAATTTAATATATCTGCAATTTTTTCTAATGGAATTTAAATTTTCTGCATCTTCTGCTTCTTCGAATGGAATTTTTCATTATCCTAAAAGCAAATTTGTACAAAGTAGTGTGAGATTTGAAGAATATTATTCTTTGTTTTCGTTTCGCTGGAAAATGTGCGGCCGTTTTCGATCGAGTTATATTTAAGCATATTTACATCGCGCCTCGTATTGCGAGGAAAGACGTGGCGGCACGCGAGTCATAAAGCTTGTTCGAGGATTCTCCGCTGTAAAAGTGGCACCTTTGATCTATCCAGCAGAGGAGAGAAGAATTTCGATCATTGAGAAAGAAAAAGGGGGAAGAAATTTGGTTCATTTGTTTCCATTCAAAACAACGAAATTGCCTTTTCCCGTTTTGCGTCCTCGCTTTTTCTTGTCAAGAAAGATTAATACAAATTTTTAAAAAAGATCTAGACCGATCTGTCTTCTAAAAATACGAGCTGACCCGGTCCGACTTTTTTCTTCTGTGCCAACTCATTCTACGAAGTTAATTGAGATTTCGTGCATTAGCGAGAAGACTAACGAACAGATTTGTTTGACTTGGTTCAGACTTGATTTTCTTGTTTCATAACTCTTCGAGGATAAATTGGTAATTTTGGAAAGTTTGAATTGATGTTCGTATAAATGATAAACGAAACTTATGAGACGTCCAATATAAGATATCCAATTCCGCCTTCATGGAAGTTCAGAACTTTTTATTAAAAGTTTCAAACACGAAAGAAGAACGATTAAAAATTTTAAAACAAAAATCTAACAAAAAAATAGTAGAAATTAAGATTTCCTTACGCGAAAATCCATTTTTCTCATTTACGAATATTCATTTAAAATATCAAAGATTAATTAAAAATTCTAAAAAAAGATTAAAAATAATTCCAACTTTTAGATTCCAGAAATCTTTTTTTTCTTTAAGAAAAAATTTGCGAAATTGTGATAGAAAACAATAACATTAAAAAACTGAAAAATCATAAACTCATATATATATATATACATACCATATTTTATAACAAAAATATATCAATGAAAAGAAAATTTGATATTATTTTTTAAATATTTAATATTCATTATTCCATTCTACAAAAAAGAAAATTATTACTTACTATTACTCAAACATTTTCACTTATATAATTATTATTAATACGATAATATACTATATATATTGCAAATAATAAATGTCGTTTCAGATACTTTTCTCCAATCGTTATCGAGAAGAGCGAACAAATTTCAAATCGCGACACGTACGAGGAGATTAACGTTTTCAGTGAAATAAGTGCAACATGGGTGCGGCTGGCAGTAGTAACAGAGCACCGTCCCCGTCGGCACTTTTGAGGGGACGTAACGAGGAGGCGTTTGTCTACGGTGCAGAGGAATCCTGGTGTCCGGAATACGCGAACGAAAATATACGACAAAGGACGAGGGCCAACGCGTTCGACGTGGGTGAAGAACCTCGATCTCAGGTTAAATATAAAACGAATATTTATCGTCTCGTGGAACGGATAGCGGGGCGAGGATAGCCGCGAGGAAACGCATT